AAGATATAGTCCAACGGAGTATAATTTATTTACAATTTGTAAGATATATAAATAATATTTGTATTTATTCGGAATTTTTCATTTTTGAAGATTTCTGGAGACTTTAAGAATCATGATGTATTTCATTATGATATTTAAAAACTTTTAAAAGTCGTTTCTATTTGAGATTTTAATTTTTTTTTTAAAAAAAATTACGATATAATCAACTTATAAGGGTGTAGTCATTTGAGATTTGCGTGAATATTTTACGGTTTTCTAAAATCGAAGTAAGTTTAAAATTTTTGAATTTAAGTGGAATTTAAAAATTCTCATTACCAGAGTAGGTGAGATTTGGTATAAGATTTTATATATTTATTTTTTCTTTAAAATACAAGTAAATCTTAAAATGTTCAAACAAAGTTGTGATAAATAAATTGTACACATCATTATCTTTTAGTACTTCTCTAAATCTCATGAATACCTCATAACTTCTTAAGACGTTAAAATTTCAAACACGAACACCAAAATTCTTAAAATCTAAAAAAAAGTCTTAAGAATCCTGAATGCATACATCCCATTCATGTTTTTTTTTTTATCGAAATGACAGTTGATAGAGAGGAGATTGCATTGATTTTTTTGGACAAGCATAGTCGTTTAACATTATTATTTTAATTATTTATTTCCTTTATTATTAATATTTGCATTCTAGTTTTGGTAGGATAAATATTTATTTATCTTACCCCATATTTATTTTCCCTAGTCCTTTTATTGTTAGACAAATTATTTATTTAGGGCTTTTAGAAGTTCTATTTAAATGACTCATCTCCTATTGTTTTAGTTGGTTGATTTTGATTGAAATAAAACATATAGAGAGTTTTATCTTTACTTCTCCCTTTCGTATATGTTTTCGCTACGTCAGTTAGTATCAAGAGACCAGTACCATTCCTACACGGTGCCGCCGAGACGGAACAATGCCAGTGTGAGGCGTAAGGACGCCAATACGAAGCGTTAGGACGCCAGGTCATAGATCTAGTCGCGGGGCTCGATGATATCCAGTTGGCTCTCCATACCTCTCTTCATGGCTATCGTACGAACCGCACGGCGAACGGTGGACGGGGCGACCGTTGGGGAATGCACGGGGGTCGCAGTCAGAACACACGCGGGGCGCCTGCTCCCAGTTGCCTCACTCGTGGGATGGAGACGGTGACTTTGAAGACCCTTTCCCATGTTAATCCGTTTGGTCATCAGGCAAGGGGCGAAGGTTATTCGACCGACGATCACCGGTGGGAGGCGTCCTTCCGGATCGATATCCCAGAATTCACCAGTGGGAGTCATCCTTCTAGATCGACCTTTTGCAATATAAATTATAAATTAATTCGATTAATGATGTTAAGGCGGTTAAATTATATGAATTATTCAGTTTTATTTTGGTTTGGGGCACATCATAAAAGAATACATGCACTTTAAATGCACAATAATGTTAGACGGATTGCACACTAATGACTATTAAATTGCACAATAGCAAACCAAAACCGATCGAACTATTTTTTTTGTTCAAAGATTTATATTTCAGATTGATTATACATTTTTTTTAACTTCTAAAGCGTATATATATACACAATATTGTGCAATACACTTATCAATGTTGCGTATTTATTATTTTTAACAAGTACGTAAAAATATGACAATATTTTTTAATGTGCGTATATACACATAATATTGTGCAGTTAACTTATCAATGTTGTTCATTTTCTAAATTTTTAATAAACTACAAATTTGAATGGATTATAATAAAGTGAAATTTTCTTAATTTGCAGATAAGCCCCTGTGACTTATCTAATTTTCAAAAAGTCTCGAAATTCCAAACTCCTCCACACCTCCACCTCACGTCATTCAGAACACGACCAATATATGGAAGACCTGATGCTGCTTCAGCGTCCGTCTCGAGCCCATCGGTGGCGAAGAGGTCGACGACTAGCTCTATCAGTTTCTTCCACAATCGATTATTTTTTTGGTGGCTGTTCTATCAGTTTTGACCTCCGCGCGGGATGTCGTCAAAGATAATCGGTTGAGGAGATGCTGTCGACGAAAGAAACCAGATTGTTTGGCTGAGGGTGTGACATCGTGGATGATAGGCAGCGACATGGTGGCAGGTGGCAGCAAGCGCCAGCGTCGGTGGCGGGCGGCAACGGTCGGGTGGCAGTCGGCAACGAGCGGTGGTAGGCGGCAGCTGGCGACAGTGGCAATATCGCTAGTTGAGTTGGTATGGCGGTATGTGCGTGAATGTGGGTGTGAGAGAAAGGTAAGTTTGTTGTCGTTAGTGGTGGATCCCACGTTGGATATAAATGATTGAATAATTACTATTATGCCCTTATATAGTGAATAAATGTGTGCGTGAATGTGGGTGTGAGAGAAAGGTAAGTTTGTTGTCGTTAGTGGTGGGTCCCACGTTGGATATAAATGATTGGATAATTACTATTATGCCCTTATATAGTGGATAAATGTGTACATTTGACCATGAAATGTACACGTATTTACGAAACTGCCACCACAAGTTTGACTGCTATATTTAAATTTTGACTTGATCATAAACATTCATATGTTGAATCTAATGGTACAAATTTATTCTCATTTCTTTCACTATCTACGATTCTCATATAATCTATATGGTAAGTATTTATAATAAAACATGATATTATTAATACATTCGGATATAAAATTTTCATATAAATAATTTATTTTAATTATTTTTATATAATTACAAGATAAAAATAATACAAAATATAATTTAAAATTTTACAAAATTGATTTGGTTGGTACAACAATTGACATGGTGACTCGACAGTTGGACAGATGAAGGGGAGTCAAGTCCTGTTTAATCACCGATTCGATTTTTAAAACTATTTTTCTATTTTATATCAATTCCCAATTTCAAATTTATCTCATTTTTCTAAAGTTAACTTTTTAGTTTTATTCCTCTCACGTTTTCCCGACAAGACAATATTTTCGAAAATCTATACTTATATAATAAGCCATCATATTTACTAAATTTAGTAAGAAGAAAAGTTAAAAGACAATTAATGCATTCTATATATTTCCATCATTTTTCCAATCGTATTATTATTTTATAGCTAAAAAATTCCATCCTTAATTGATGTGTTTTGCAATAAAATCGGATAGATAGACTCCACGTAAAAACATGTCTCATTTAAAATTTAAATTTAAATCTTAAAATTTCTTATTATTTTGTTACATTAAAATCCTAAATGAATTGTTTGTCATAAAAATCGGACAAAATAATAATTGCATAGAATTCAAGTAAAAACATGTCTCATTTAAAATTTAAATTTTAAAATTCTTTATCATTTTGTTACATTTCCGAATGATTTGTTTCTCATAACATTAGACAGAATTAATAATTGCATAAAATTCAAGTATGATTTCGAATTTATATCGACGATGTTTAATAATTGCATAGAATTTCAAAGATGTTTATTTATTAT